GGTTTGAAGCCATATGATATTTTCACTCATTAATTGGAATGGTTTTAATCTGGGTTGTTTTATATTATTGTCTGTGATACTACAAATAGCTATTTTGAAGAAAACATGAGAGCGTAATAACTAATGCTGATTTAATATCCCGTTTTGACGCCCCAATCAAGTTGTTGTTCATCTGTTTCCATTAGTTTTAACATGTTGTGTCTCATTATATTTTAATGTATGCAATAGTATAAGCAAAATTTTTTTTTAGGCAAAGAGATAACATAGAAACCGATGTTCGGTTTCTGTTAGCTAGTTCTAAATACCCGCAATACTTTCATTCTCTTTAATGGTTTCACATTGTCTTGATAAGTTTGATGCTATAGTATATGAAGTTAGATTCAAATATTTCAAGGAAAGAGACACTATGGTAACTACTATTAATGTCAGGCTATCTGGTGGTGAAACACAATGATGCTTAAATTGTTTGGTTCTGACCTGTGTTGTTCTATTGATATACTCTTTTTTTTATCTCAATCTCCCCCCGCCTTTCTTTTCTTTTTTTTTTTTATTTAAAGAAAAGGAAACAAAAAAAATACATGGAGATTAAAAAAAAGGGTAGAAATAATGCAAAATTATGAAAAACAAACGGTAAGAAATTGCTGGTTGATAAATTACACATTGTCATCTTAGAAATAGCTGTTCATGTTATAGAATTAAAGTAAAGTGGCACTACAAACCGTTCTGTCTATGATCGAACAAAAGCTCAGTAATATGGTTATCAGTCCTACATACTTGTTTTACATCTCAAAGAGGGTAAGATTAAACATATCAAAACAGTTAAAACAAAAACAATTTAAAGAAATACAGATTTCAAAGCAAGTCCACTGGAGATCTTCTCTGTCTATCTAACTGTCTCTGGTTTCTTACAAATAGTTGTCCCCATCTTCACCCACTTTATATACTTATTGCATATTATAGAACTAATCAAATCAGTACAGGATGATGAAGGCTTTTTAGGTCCTCAAGTTCCAAATTAGGGAAGACAATAATAACTACCATCGCATCTCTCATTCTCTTTGTGATAGCTGTCCCCGGAAGATCATCTATATTGTGGTCTTACATGTCTTATCCATTGCATGTTTTTCTAGGAAATTGTTTTGCTGTCTTGCTACAACTTGGTTTTCCCTATAATACAGAGAGGATAGATATATATGTAGAAATTCACACATGAGTTTTTTTAAAAATTATTTACAGGAACAGATTATATAATGCCAGATGTAATGAACAGATACTCTGAGGAAGAGACGCTAAGAAACCCAAGGCTAATTTCGTAGCATTATGATATAAGTTCTAGCAATACTATTGTTCGCTGATTAGAATGACATTGGACTGGTTTCTTTTTTTCTTTTTTTAAAAATTAATTTATTTCTTAGTATTTTTTAATTAAGGGAAAACTAAATTAAAAACAGTGGGATATAGTATAGTAACTTTTTTGTTTTCCTATTAATCTGACTTGAACCCTTGTATTGTTCTCCACATCTTGTTCTGATTGATTTTATTATATTCTGTTTTGTTTTATAATAGTATCAAATTTGAGGGTATAAGCAACCACTTTGAAGGCAACCAGATACTCTTACCATGCCCATTATTGTTTGACTATTATCTTCTTTGGAAGTCCTATAAGGTCTCCAATGTAGGTTTTATTTGTCTTGTTCTGTACTGTTTTGTTCAATTCTTTTATACCAGCTGATATAGGCACCTCTTTGTAGGATAACAAGAGGCATAATGGTAACCATTGTTGATCACCTACTAATCTCTTTTTGCATTGTATACTATGTCCATCCTCCTGTTCTGACTGACTCTGTTCTGCTTTGTCACACTGGGGTTTTTTGTTCTGTTTTGTTTTGTTTCTTGTTTTATGTTTTTTTTTTCTTTTCCTCTTCAAAAAAAAAGTTATAAGAACTGTGGGAGTAATGGAACCCAAAATGTGTGATTGTTAGTGTAAAAAAGGGAGGAAAGAAAGTGAACTAAGGGATATAACTGCAAGTGTATTCAAGTGTGTAGGATGGAAAACTATATTACTGAGTTTTTGTTGGATCATTGAACAGAACTGTCTGCAATCTCACTGTATTAATGTCCACTTTGTATGCTTTAATTTTGTAACCTGTGCAACTATTTCTGAGATGACAATATGTAATCTATTGACTAGTGAAATCTTACTGTATATTTTTTCTCTTGAAATTCTGTATTACTTGTGTAGCTTTTTACTGTCTTGCTTTGTTGTGTTTTGTTTTTTTCTTTAAATTAAAAAAAAAAGGGAAACAGACCCTAAATCTGATTCTCAAGGCTCCAAGGGGAGCTCAACAACCATTACCTGCTATCGCTGCCACAAGCCAGGTCACCTCAAGAGGGACTGCACTCAGAAGCCTTCTGGGCCAAGCCCTAACTGCAAAGGTAACCACTGGAGATCGGAGTGTCCTCTGAGGCCAAGGCCCTAGGGTTCAGACCCATCTTATCAGTTGGTCCAGCAGGGCCAAAGGGCCCCAGGACACTTGTTGCCCTCTCCCTCTGACCAGACTCATCTCCACAGAGGAACCTAAGATAATCATGACTATAGAGAAAAAAAAACAAAACAGCCTATTGCTGGATAATTGGTCCTTTTCAATCCTGGCCTTCCTTCTAGTCGCCACACCTCAGTGAAAGGAGTCACTGACAAGGAGCTACTTTTTACAACCTTTAGGTTGTAACTGTTATGGTTTTCTTTTTACACATTCATTTTTCATTATGCCTGAAAGTCCAGTTCTGCTCTTAGGAAGAGATATTTTATCATGTTTAAATACTGTGATATATATGCACCGATGTCAGGTATGCTGCCTTCCCCTCATGGAGACAAAAATAAATCCTGAAGTATAGGCAACTGAAGGTAAAATAGCTAGGGCAATAAGAGCTGCCCAATACAGATACACCTCAGAGATTCTACTATTTTTCCTCATCAGAGACAATATCCTTTAAGACCTGAAGTTAAGAGATTAATACCTATAATTGATAATCTCAGAGCACAGGCTTACTTGAGCCCTGTAATAGTCTGTGCAATACTCCAATCTTGGGAATTCAGAAACCCAATGGGAATGGAGATTGATATAGGACCTTAGATTTATAAATGAGCAATTGGGCAATCCATACACTCTGCTTTCTCAGATCCTAGAAGATGCCAGTTAGTTTTCAGTGTTGGATTTAAAGGCTGCCTTCTTCTGTATCCCTTTACATATAGATTCTCAGTTTTTTTTTTTTTTTTTTTTGCTTTTAAAAATCCACAGGACCAAGCATCTCAATTGACATGGACTGTGATCCCCCAAGGGTTCAGAGATAGTCCACATCGTTTTGAACAAGTGGTTTCCCATGAGTTGGCATGTTTTGAATTTTTCCAGGTCACACTCTTGCAGTATGTAAATGCTAGCGCAGCCATATAGAAAAATTACCTAACAGGCTGTCCTTCAAAATCAGATAGCATTAGACATTCTACCAGCAACACAGGGGTTACTTGTGCAATTGTAAAAACTAAATGCTGTGCATACATTCCTGATTCTTCTGCTAATATCTCAGTACCTATTCAAAATACTAGATAACAAATCAATGACATGTCAGACTCTGAGATTCCATGGACCTTGTTATTCTCCTCCTTATGGAAAGCTATTGCTAGTTCCTTTTGGTGGAAATCTTTGTTAGCTATACTCATAATTGTCTTATTAATATTACTCTTTGGTCCATACATACTTAACTGTTCCTTTGGCTTTATCTCCTCCAGACTTAAAAGCTGCGTGCATATCCAAGATGAGAATGCCTAGTGACTATTGAAGGCCTCTAGACAGGATCTCTGTGGAAGTACCTCTGACTGCAGTTCAAATACTGCGACCTTGTTAAGCCTGAATCGCCTGAATGGGCGATGACCTCAATGGGTCATATCCCATTACCATCCCCCCTCCCCCATGGCAGTTCGGGTTACTCCGAGGGGAGGGGATGTTGCAGGCGGATGGTTAGTCAGAATATTATAGGCAGTGAGACAGGGCTAGGTCCTCAAAGAGCAAGTGCAGAACCAAGGATAGTTTGCACCTGTCGGGGAGACAGACACCTCTTGCTGTGGGCCAGGCCTCAAGACAAAGGATCAAACAAATGCATCTACATCCTGGGGTCTGGTATTCTAATTAGTTCCCTCTCACTTTGGAGTCACTCTTCCATCCCTCTAGGGGAAAGGTCACAGCTCCCAAATGCCTGCTTCCTATGTGACTTGCTTTCCCATTTGTCTCTAATGTAATCAATTTTACCTGAACTATTGATCTTATTGGCTGACAATAGTCATGTCCCACCTTATGCCCATCCGCTTTGTGAGTTCCCAGTCTTCCCCTGCCTTGGACCCATGGTTTGTAAAGTCCCTGGAAAAGACAGAACCCGGGGCAACCTACTCGGGACTTCCTTTTTTCTCTCTTCAGACAGAAGTTTTCTTTCTCTCAATAAATATATTCTACTCTTCACCTCCGTTGTTCCTAAAATTCATTCTTCGGTTTTAGAGAACCGGAGCTCGCGGACATAGTAAGTTGGGCGTTTCATTTCCCTATATCAATACGAAGTAAGCTCAAGGCAAACTTGAGTTACATAGCCAAATCTGTCTCAAAAAGAGTAAAAGTAAGTAAACAGTTTATCATTTGAGCTTCATCGCTGCTGGAAGTAATTTGTTTTTTGTGTCTCAGCTGAGCTGTCAGGCAATAGAGCAGGACTCAATCAGAGAAGAGGCGGGCTGTCTGAACTACCCAATCAGGTGGGCCTAGGGGGAGGGCACTTCCGGTGTCATGGCGCCGTGGGAAATGCTGGGGGTTTATAGTTGCGAGGACCCTGCTGACTAGACAGCGTTTTTCTCTAACTTCTCCTTGCTGCGAGCTGCATTGGAAGGATCCTGGGAAATCCTCAAACACAAAATGGTGACGTTGTGGAACGAGGTCGGGATGGTGTGAAGTAGAGTGCGTGTCAGACGGAAATGGTCAGAAACAGCTGTGGCGATCTCCTTACCGCCAACCTGCTCAGCTGCAAATGCCGAGGTTCCCCTGGTCTTGGGCGCTGTGTCACCCTCTGACACATCTTCCCGTTGCCCAGGCAGGAACAGTGCTGAGTCCGCAGCATGTAGACACTGTGCTGGGACACCGCTGCCCCACGGTCCATTTCTGTGCGGCCCAGGCGGAGGTGAATCTCCCGGGTCTGCAGAGAGCGGGGGCTTTGGGGGACCCTGGGATCTTTCCTCAGCGATGGAAAAGTCATCACTTTAATTTCTCACGTGAGACCTTTACTCTCAACGGTGTTACTGCATAAACAGGGTTAACTATAGATAAGCAGCGCCCAGTGAACGTTCACTTATTTAATGATCACTCATCAGAAAGGGTTCTGGATTCAAAACCACCACTTTGGATTCAGGCTCTTTAACACATTTCCTCAGCTTGCACTGTTGAAACAAAACTGGGGCTTTGGAAAAACACTGGATATTTTGTATTTTAAGTTCCTAGACGCTTAGAAGCTTAGCAGAGAGTGGCCACAACTCCTTTTAGTGGGGAGATGGCTTTAAACTGTCTTCAATAACCCTTCAGTTGATGAAGATACTTCCACTTTCACACTTAAACAGCGTCTGTAAGACTCTTGAAACTCTTCACGTAGTCCTCTATAGAACATGACATTCATCAGAGAGTTTCTTTTCTAGAATACTGTACAGTCATTCTCTCCTGTGCAATCAATTCTGAGAACAGTATGATGCCATATAGAAAAAGGCAAAATACTCTGGCGTTTTTTGGTTTCGTTTCGATTCTTAAAAATTGCCTGGTTCTATTCACACTGTTTGGATTACACCACCAGAACAAGGGGCAGGTAAGGGAACTTCCAATGAAAAGACATAGGGCTGAGTAGTTAGAACTCAAGACACCAAAAATGTTCAAGGTTGAAGGAAAAAATTTCCATTTGTAATTTTAATTTATATGTTATGCTTTAACTTTACGGCTTTAACCTCAGATCTTCGTATTCCTTTCTATACTGGAATTATTGCTCCTGCAAGCACTTGAAGTTCCAGGCCTGTGTGTATACTCTGTTATCATGTATTAAAAAAATATGCACTTCCAATGGGCAGGACATATTGTGGACTAGACTCTTCTCTTCATGATGGCCTCATGAGCCTCGCTTATGTTTGACGTAGTAGTTCTTGGTAGTTCACCTGTAGAGAAATTTAGTGCAATCTCATTTCACATTCCTAAGATAGGACAAAAGGCACACTTTTGTCTTCAGATAATGATCTAGATTCGTGTAGTGGTCTGTCTACTCCACCAGGACGTTTTAGTTCATTAATTTCTCATATGTCCATATATGTGTCCAATACAAAGTCCATTACTTCTATTGCTAATGTAGACTGAATTGTGGTGCACTCTTTTAAGAGTGATGTGGCCAAAGAGCCATGTCTTCGTGGGCTGGCTTAGAAAGTTCTGGAAAATAATGGAAGCATGAGAAAACTCAAGTGTGTAAAAAACAAGACTATGTAATATGAGGACCCAATATTTTTAATGTATTCAGATGCAATCTGTATAATATTACACTGCATCAACATTGTCAGAGTTAATGTATTGGTTTCAGACATGGTGCTATGTGAACATGTACACAATCTTTGAGGTCATATTTATGGACTCATTTGATTTTATGTGTACTAGAGTCATTGGTACATAATAAAGTCTTTGACAGCCTATATAAACACTATGAGAAATTTACCAGGTATCTGTAGCAATGAGTTTAAGTGTGACTTCATGGCCAGATATCTGATTGTATAGAGTATGTCCCACCTACTTAAAGAACACCTGTGAGATACATGCTTTGGGGAATACCCAGAAAAGTTGTTGTGTGGTCATGTGCTTAGCCTAAACTGCCTTAAGTTGCCAGCTTTGGGACTAATGTGGGATGAAGCATGGAGAGTGTAAATTGTCACACACAAAGAGAGATGAATAGCAGTGATTTTAGGCACAACACTTTGTGTGTGTGTGCTCTTTTTGAGATAGGGTATCTATCTCAAAGAGATATGCATTTAGGATGGTCTTGAGCTCATTTTGTAACCTAGGCCAGTCTCAAACTTGCAGCAACCCTCCTGTCTCAGCCTCCTGAGTGCTAGGTTTACAGGCATGTGCCACCATGACTGCTCCTCACTTCTAGCAAGTGTGTACTGTAGTTTCTTTCTATGCCTAGAAGAAATTCTTCAGCCATGACATAGTAGTTCCAGTGAGATCTGACACTGTTTCAAGTTACAGCCTGATTTCTTCTTTGATTTTTCTATGCTCTGTAGCATATTAATTTTCATGTATCTTTGAAGTTCTTATGGTTTCATTGTCATTTCCAGTTTCATTGCATTGTTTTCTTATAATATGTGTGGAATAATTTTCACTTCTTTTGATTTACTTAAGCATCTTCTATGAGCTAGTTATGTTGTCTATTTTGGAGAATGTGTGTAGCTGAGAATATGTATTCTGATATAGGGTGGAACACTGTAGACATCAACTATGTCTATTTGTTCAAAAGTTTGGTTCAGTTCTGATATTTCATTGTTGATTTTTGTCTAGGTGGTGTGTCTCTTTGTGACAGTGCTATATTGATGTGTTTACTATTATAATCGTATTAGTGCTTATTTGATTTTTCATAGTTCTGTGCACTGATATTTTTTGCATATATATGTACCATTGTTTTCCTTTCCTCTTGAATTGTCCTTTACAAGGATATAGTGACTTTCTTTGTCTCTTTTAATAAGTCTTGGGTTGAAACCCATTTTGTCTCCTAATAGTAATTAGCTATCGCTATTCTTTTCTGAGTTCCTTTCACATGGAGTATTGATGCTTAATGTGAAAATTTGTTTTTGAATTATGTGTGTTTCTCATATGCGGTGTATTATTGGATCTTGATGTTTAATCCATTCTGCATGTCTGTTTCTTTTGATTGGTAAATTGAGACCATTAACATTGATGGTTATAACTGATGTGCATTCACTTATCTTTTTCATGTTATTTTCCTGTTGTTGGCTCTCATTTTTTTCCTCTGTTTAATTGCTTGCATTTACTGGTGGATTCATTTTGTTGGGGTTCATAGTACTCAAGTACAATCAAAGAAAGAATGATTTAATTCTGTGAAGTCAGATTTGAAGAGGTATAGACTTTGGCCTATTAGAAAAATTAATTAAATATGTATTTATTCTGTGTTTTGTGGATGGCCATTTGTAGAGTCCTTCTATAAGCTCTGTTTGAAAGTAGTGTACAAATACAGTATCTGTGACGCTTTCAGGGAACCAGCACTACCATTGTGCTATTACTGCAGCAGTAAGTTGCAATCTAGCATCAGAATTGCTATATGAAATTATGTGTATACACATGGGTACCAAAAAAAGCAGTTAATAATTTGAAAGAACCAAGCTCAGCTCAGCTTTCACAAGCATTTAGATATCTCAAGGTGTGAATCTTAACCTTCTTTCAGGAAATATATCTGTTATTATTTAGGAACCAGTGACCTTGGAGGATGTTGCAATTAACTTCACCATGGAGGAGTGGGCCTTGCTGAATCCATTCCAAAAGGAGCTCTACAGAGATGTGATGTGGGAAACATTTATGAATATGACTACTATAGGTAAGGATGATGTTGTTTTTTCATTTATGCAGCCAGAGAGCATTGGTTCTTGCTCAGTGATAGTGATGTATTAAATAGAACATGAAAACATTTGAAGAGTATCTCAGGTCTGTTTACATTATATCATGAATCTAATTGCTATCTGCTAATTTTTGTATGATGATGTAGTGATTTTTAAAAAATTTCTATGGATCCAATTCAGGACAGACCTGGAACAACCAGCAAACTGAAGAAGAATACAAGCATTTCTCAAGAAATCTAAGGTAATTTGCATTCACAACAAAAAGGAATATCCCCTAAGATTTGGTATGTTAGCAGAAATATTGCAACCAAGGAAATTCAACAAATGAGGCTATATTCATATTTATTTAATCTCACAAAAATTCTCCTTGTATGCTTACAGATTGCTTTTTGTATAAGCTGTCTTTAAATAGAGAATTATCCCAATATACGAAACTGACTTGGTAGAAATTGTATGATAGAAATTAAATTGGTAGAAATTGGCAGCAAGAGACATTATCTCATACATTAGTATGAAAAACTTTTTTGTGATCAGCATCATGAAAATGTGTGAGTGTGCATTTAGGTATTGTGCATAAGCATATATGAACACAATAAATTTTGAACATTAATAGAAATTCATCTTCAAGTTATCTACTTATATATAGAAATATGAAACAAACTATCTAAAGCATTGCTGAACTGCAAACTATATTCAAAATGCAAATTAATGTTAGCGTAATGATAGATGTTTTCAAAGTGTCCTCCAGGGAATTGGGTCCATTCATGTTTCAAAATAGCTAGAAGGCACCCTCATATGTTGTTTGTTGGAATATAAAATAGAACATTTTGATAATCACTATACGAATGTGTCAAATGTAAAAATATGAGTTTGCATATGATTCAGGCAAGTATATCCCTAAGTATATTCTGAAACAATTTAAAATTTCTGTCTTACTTGTATATGCATACTCATGCACAGAGCATGGTGCGCATGGGTATTCACAATGCCTAAGTTGTAGGCAATACCTCAGTTCTCCTAACAACCCCGATGGAATGAATGGAAAAGAGCGTGTGGGTGGGCTTCTTATAATCCTAGTGCTCTGCTCAGCTAAGCGAGCAGGGTGAATGCTTACCAAGTTAATGCCCAAGGTGAATCTCAAAATAGGAAAGAAAATTCTAGAAATGTAGATGCTTTAATGCTAAGACTCTTTATTTTTAATACTTAGCAGTGGAAAAATCCATAAAGACAAATAATATTGGGCTGGTGATTTAGTTCAGTGGCAGAAGCACCTGCCTAGCAAGCACAAGGTCATGAGTTGGATCCACAGTACCAAAAAAAGAAGAATATCATACTTAAATTACGAATAAAATTAAGAAGTGATAGGGAAGAAACAGGCTGATTTATTGGAGATGGGAAGATGACCAGGATAAAGAGAGGAGCAGAGACTGATGGGGAAAAAGTGTCAAAAATGATCCATGTGTAATCCACATATGTATCAATGATATAAATGAAACTAGACCCTAAGTATTGCAATTATTTATTAATTTAGAATTCTCATGTGAATTCCATCCTTTAGGGAATGGGTGTTTTGGAAATGTCCTCCAGGGCATTCAGCCAATTCATTCCCATAGTATTTTAGCAGGCATCAAAAAAAAATTTGTTATGGTGCTGGTAAAGTATTCATATGCAGACCTTTTTTGTGTGACTGATATTTTTGTTCTTCTATCTCTACAGTAATGAAGAAGTAGCAAAATGGTATGAATATAAATCTTGCAATCAGTACAGAAACATATTCCTTTGGTCTCCAGATGCTAATGTGGACATGCAACAGACTACTTTAAAACCAGTTGAAAGCCTTGCTTGTAGAAAGCCCCTGATTGGGCATTTATCACAAAATGTGTCCATTTTACCTTCCATTGGCCAGAAGCCAGATGAGAATTTGGAACTGGATGACAATTCGAGTAAAGGTAATGAACATGGAGAAATCTTCAGTGCTTTCCAGTTTTTTTTAAAGAATACTTTAACAAACAGTGGTGAGGAACCTTCTAAGTATGAACAGTGTGAGAAAAACTGCTCTGAATGTACTGAAAGGACTCATCCTGGAGAGAAGACCACTGTAGGTAAGAAGAATATGAATGCTTCCAGGACTTCCAGTGGTTTTCACATTTATGAAAGTATTTGCACTGGGAAGAAACCATATGTATGCAAGCAATGTGGGAAAACTTTGAGTACACGAAGTTGCTGTAAAATTCATGAAAGATTTCACGTGGAGAAGAAAGCCTGTGTATGTAAGCAATGTGGAAAAGTATTTGTTGGTAAGTCTTCACTTCATAAACATAGACGAACCCACACTGGTGAAAAGCCCTATGTATGTAAGCAGTGTGGGAAAGCATTCAGCACACATAGTAACTGTAAAAGGCATAAAAGAATTCACACTGGGGAGAAACCATATGTATGTAAGCAGTGTGGAAAAGCATTTACTACAAAGAATTATTATAACATACATGAAAAAATTCATACAGGAGAAAAACCTTATGTTTGCAAGCAATGTGGGAAAGCATTTGCTATGCAGATTACCTGTAAAATACATGAAAGAATTCATATTGGGGAGAAACCTTATGCATGTAAGCAATGTGGGAAAACATTTGGCAGACACAGTAACTGTAAAATCCATGAAAGAGTTCACACTGGGGAGAAACCATATGTATGTAAGCAGTGTGGAAAAGCATTCAGTGTACACAGTACCTGTCGACGCCATGAAAGAATTCATACTGGGGAGAAATCCTATGTATGTAAGCAATGTGGGAAAGCATTCAGCACACACAGTCACTGTCAAAGGCATGAAAGAATTCACAGTGGAGAGAAACCTTATGTATGTAAACAGTGTGGCAAAGCATTTACTACACACCGTTTTTGTCAAATACATGAAAGAACTCACACAGGGGAGAAACCTTATGAGTGCAAGGAATGTGGAAAAGCATTCACTAGAAAGAGCTCTTACAATATACATGAAAAAAGTCACACAGGGGAAAAACCTTATGTGTGCAAGCAGTGTGGAAAAGCATTTACCACAAAAAGTTATTATAATGTACATGAAAAAATTCATACAGGGGAAAAGCCTTATGTGTGTAAGCAATGTGAGAAGACATTTTCTACCCACAAGGATCATCAAAGACATGAAAGAACTCACAGTGGGCAGAAACCTTATGAATGCAAACAATGTGGGAAAGCATTCAGTACACACAAATATTGTCAAATACATGAAAAAACTCACACTGGGGAGAAACCTTATGTGTGCAAGCAATGTGGCAAAGTGTTCACTACACAAAAATATTTTCAAATACATGAAAAAAGTCATACAGGAGAGAAACCTTTTGTGTGTAAGCAATGTGGGAAAGCATTCTCTACAAAGAGTTCTTATACCATACATGAAAAAAGTCACACAGGAGAGAAACCTTTTGTGTGTATGCAATGTGGTAAAGCATTCACTACACACAAATATTGTCAAAGACATGAAAGAACTCACACAGGTTAGAAGCCCTATGTATGTAATCCATGTGGTGTAAGATTTGCTAATCTTCATTTAATACACATAGATCTCATACTGGGAAGGAACCCTTTGTATATAAGCAATATGGGAAAAGCAGTCAGTGAACACAGTTTTTATCAACCACATGAAAGAAGTTACACTGAGGAGAAACCTTATATAAGTAAGTCTGTTTTGAAAAGCTTATGAAAATTCCTCATGTAGTGCAGAACTATGAAAATTAAATAAAAATTTGATGTCAGTATTTCTTCATAAACCTTCCAGAAAAATTCCAGATGGAGATATCCTAGAATGTATTCTTTCTTTGTTTTTCAGAAATCGCTTGTAAATATTTGAACTATGTATCTGTAGTCTTTACTATAAAAATATTGACACGGCTGGGGATTTAGCTCAGTGGCATAAGCACCTACCTGGCAAATCCCCTGGTACAATATATATATATATATTGAGAGACAGAGAGAGAGAGAGAATATATTTTTATGTAAGCCATTGACTTTGAGCTTAATATGTAATATCTTCTAATCAAACAAGGGAAATTAAAATGTGTTTCTCAATTCCAAGTAGGGTTAGTATTTATGTAGTTTTGATTTTGTGTGTTTAGCATTGAGAGAAATAAGCCTCTAAAAAATAAATTTTATTAATTTTTTAAATGGAATTTCCCACTAGCTTTGATTTTAATATTTTTGGTATATATACTTCATATTCTGTTTTAAAGGATAATTTTGAATTTGATTATATATATATTTATGCATGTTTACAGACATGTGAATATGAGTTTTTGAAAAGTTCAGTTGTTTTCATACAACTCATAGATTAGCAAATGTTTTGTTTTTCATATCCTAACAAAGTATCTGAATATTCCAACATAATTATATCAAATAATTTAATCCATTTTGCTTTCATGTCATTCTCAATATTATGATTTACATAAAATTTTGTTTTCTTATCAGCATTTTACTTTTCATGCGTATAGTGTCATGACTTCAATTTTTGTGTTAATTTTACCACCACTTATACAAAAAATAAACCCATACTGCTGTCTTTAATTTAAGCAGATCAGATGGATCATGATTGTCGATAAAAGGCTATCATGAATTGTAATGTATCAGTCAGTGCTTACTTGAGAAATAGGTTTAATGCAAGATATACACATATATAAAGATTTACAAGATTGGCTTACAGTGGCTGCCCACACAATCAGATACAAGAGTGCAAAACGTCTGTCTTTGCACAGGATATCCTAAAATTCCATTGAAGGCCTGGCACCCACTCTTATTTAACATGCAATTCTGTATCAGAAGAGCAAAGCTCTGTACCAGAGACCAACAGATCTGTGCTGAAAGACAGATGATCTGCACTGGAGGCTGAAGAGTCTGTGCTGGAAGCCAGGAAATGATTTCCAAGGTGACAGTGAACACTGGAGCTTCTCTACAAAAACACATGTAGGCCTTCCCTTTTCATCTTTTTTTAATAACATTCTGACAACGGTCCTCCCCGGAGTGGGTCTTCTACACCCACAATTTTGCTGGGCAAATTTAGCTGAACATGTAATACTCAAATTGACACAATCAGTTAACTGTCACAACCCACCCCTTGACAACTTTACAACCAGACACAGTTCTTTAAATCACAGACTCCAGATAGAAAGAAAAGATCATAAATATACTAGCATATTATAGCTGTCCTTTATACAAGTAGAAGCACACTAATTCCCTCTCCAGAATAAAAAGGAAGTTTTCTTTGCATGATGCTTCTAACATTTCATAACTTGAACACTATAACATAGGTTTAACAAGGCTTAACAATATTAATTCTATCAACATTATATTACATTGGAAACATAGTAGGAAATAACTTATAATCCTTGTCTCTGTAGCGAATCACCAGGGTCATAGGTGTGACTTAGAACTACCTTGATTCATTCTGTGTTTCCTTGGCCTTCAGCAAGCACCTCAGTAGGTTTGGTTCTTTCCTTTGCATGTTCACCCATACCTTCATTCCGAAGATTCTAGATCATTTGATGTTCTGTCTTGATTGGATTGTTATAGTTTTCCATTAACTTTGATAACAACGTATGGCTATACTAGGAGTTCTCAAGTATGTTTTTCTCCTGCACCCCAAGTATATTTTTCTCTCCTCCATTGTGGATTAATAGTCTAATTTTGTATTGACAATCTAGGTCAATCACCCCTCTCAACAATGTAACATTTTGATTGATTCCTCAAGAGTCATAAGGTGACCAAAATGACCAGAGGAAAGACTTTGCTTCCATTTCAATGATACTCTTACTGTGTTTCCTAGTACAGTTCTTCCTTTCATTCCCAGAACTAAGACTTGTTTCTAAGCCAGATGAGCATGAGGTCATGAGAAAAGGGTGCAAAACTGTGCTAGGAGATCACTCTTACTTTCACCTTTTCATTCCTGGACCCATGAATTCTGGCTATGGAAAACACTGTACCATATAGTGGATCCTGATTCAAAGCGCATACAACCTTTTGAAAAACCTTGACTTGGCCCTGCAAGCTGTTGCCACCTAACTGGTGCTGCAAGTCTGTCCTCAAAAGATAAGTTCAACTTTCTATCAACCTATCTACTTCTGGGTGTTGAGGAGCATGGTAAGCCCAGTGAATTCCATGAGCATGAGCCCATCGCCTCATATCTTTGGCTATGGAATGTATTCCTTGGTAATGAGATACAGTGCTGTATGGAATTCCAAGATGGCTGATAAGGCATTATGTGAATCCATGGATGGGAGAGTTGGCAGAAGCATTATAGGCAGGAAAGGCAAATCCATATCCAGAACTAAGTATTCCACTAAGCACAAAGCATCCTCATTTCCTTGATGGCAGCAGTTCAATCTGATCACTGTGGAAGGCTGATCATCCCAGGGTATGATGCCATATTGAAAAGTCAGTGTTGGTCTCAGCTTGAGGTCACTTGGGCACATTCAGCAGAGGCTGTAGTCAGATGTCACTTCTTGAGTGGGAGTCCATGTTGCTGAGCATGCATAACCTCTAGAGTCACTCTGTGTGTGAGTCCTCTGGGCAGCTATGGATGTTCAAATAATACTGCATCAAATAATACTGAGCTCATGATAGGCAGAAGGCTTATACCGTGCAGCAAAATGATGATTTTATAGAACTGAAAGCTAGAAGCCAACAAGAAGCCATGCCCTCCCTGGGTAATGCTGGTGACACACACACAGGGACATCATTCTAAGACCAAGTGAAGTTTCCTATTAGAGCCAATCCTTAGAATATGCTGATTTTGTAAGTGATACATAAATTCACATAAATTTCTGTGGGAAGGCACTAACTACTTGCATATACAAGAAAGAAAATTGAATAGTAACAACTTAGATGTTTAGAAACCATGCCTTCCCATGAAGCAGGCTCTGACAGGCTGATCGGTAATAGCCTCAACCAGAAGAGAAACCAGGCCTTCCCACAAGCTAGCTGGTGCACAGACTGAAAAATGAGAAGAGCATATCTCCTGACTCTGCTGATTCAGAGGACTCAGAGATGATAGCAACTGAGGGGAAGGGAATAGCTTGTTGCTTGTATTGTTTGGTTGACTCTGCAGGCTTGGGGCTGGTGGTCTGAGCATCTACTTGGAAGATGGCAGTGTGCATTGTGGCAACCGTGGGAGATTTCTTCCTGTCTTGTTTTTGAAATCCAATGTTTTGTTTCATTTTACTGTTTTATTTCTGTGTATGAAAACGTATTTTGAAGAAAACAATGTGCAGTATTGTTCTCACTCTTTTGTTCTGATTTATTGTTTTGCTTTATTCAGTGTTATGTTTTGACTGGTTTTATTCTGTGTTGTGTTGTTTGATTTTACTAGGTCTGACAGTATGGACAACTATTGTAAAGATAGCAAATTATGTTATGGTAGCCATTGTTGATTTCGTATTTTCCCACTTTGAAATTATGTACCACTTTCACAGCTTTGCTTTCATTGCTTTTATTCTATTTTTTCTTCGGTTCTAGTCTCTTTAAATTTAAAAAAAAGAAAAAAAACAGCAGGGGTTTTGAAAAGCTAGAAAGAAACATCTTAAATTCAAACATTCCTCATGGGGTGTGAGACTAACACAGTTGGAGACAGGCTGGTCTACAATTTCCTGGCTTAAAATTTATCATTTGCGCTCCACTTCTGCTGGAAGAGATTGGTATCACTTGTCACTCTCAGCTCCGCAGGAACCAAGCAGAGACGAAGGCGGGCTGTCTGAACTACCCAATCAGGTGGGCAGAGGGGGAGGGCACTTCCGGTGTCATGGCGCTGATGTACGAACTGTGAGCGAGTTTCTCAAAGCCGTTGACTGACCGGACCGTCTTTTTCTCTTAACTTCTGATTGCCTACTACATTGGAAGGATCCCGGGAGACCTTCAAGCCACTCAATGGTGACGTTGTGGGACGGGGGCCGGGGATGGCATGGAGTAGGGTGCGTTCCGGACGGAAGTGGTCAGAAACAGCTGTGGCGATCTCCTTTCTGCTCCCCTGTTCAGCTGCAGGAGTCGAGGTCTCTGTGGTCTTGGGCGCTGCGTCACCCCCTTTGCCCGGACAGGCACAGTGCTGGGTCCGCAGCATGCAGACACAGTGCTGTGACACTGTTGCCCCACGGTTCCTTCTTGTGTGGCTCCAGTCGGAGGTTTATCTGTACTGGTCTTCAGAGAGCAGACCCTAAGAAAAATCCCTAAGTTTCATATTCAGCAGTGAAAAACTCATCACTTTAATTTTTATGTTAGCCTTCTAGTAATGATGTTACTGCAAGAACAGAGTTCATAGTGTCACAATATTGAGAAATGAAATCCCGAACCAAAACAAGGGATTTAGGAGGGATTTTATTGGAAATAAGACTGGCTCTGTTATTTCCAGAAGTGCCCCAAGCGAGTGGCCCTGTGGCCGCTCAATTCAGAGCTAATTATAGATAAACAGAACCCAGTAAATGCTCGGTTGGTTTGTGACCACCTATCACCGAGTGTTCTGTGGATTTAAAACAACCACTTTGAGCTCAGGTTCTCTCATCCATTTCCGCAGCGTGCACTTTTAAAGTGAAACTGAGATTTTAGAGAAACACTCGATATTTTGTGTTTTAAAAACCTGGAAATTGTGAAGTTTAGTAAGGAGTTGCTTCACTCCTTTTCCAAGGGAGAAGGCTACATTCCCTGTTGGGCAGAAAATTTGCTGTTGGTCCAAAGTCCTAGGTCTCTTCTCATTTTAATTCTTATCAAAATGGCTAACTTTCCAACTGTGTGTTAGGCCCGACCCTAGCTAGGTGCTTTATTTATAAGGTAATTAAATAAACTATTCTTTGTAGTTAGATAGTTTAAGTGAGAGTTTCCTTAGAGTTTAGAGTGCTGAGAAAGATGGAGATGATGTTAATCTATTATAAAGGGAGTGCAAAGTTCCTGCTAAGGAGAACTTCCTGGGAAGCTGCCTGTTAAACCATACTGAGATGGGCATCCTCAGGGAGGTATACATGTAATATTGGTATGACTGGAAAGTGAAAGGGGCCTCACTTCTGAAGTAATTCCTTTGTAGTTTGTTTATAGACATTGTTTTAAAATTGAAATATTTATATAAAATTGAGATATTTATATAAAACATGTACTGAACTAAGGGTAAATTCCCATAGTAAGGTCTGCAGGCATAAGAATAAATCGAATAAAGGATTTTTTTTAAATATGCAAGAGCAAAGGGAAATAAGGAAATGGGAGAGCAGAGGATTTTGCAAGACTGCAAAAATCAGCAACTACAACAGTAAATTTCTCTAGAAGTCACATTATTCTTCCTATTTTCAAATGTAGAATTGGAAGGATACAAAAGCTTTGCAGGTGTTTGATCTTTTTCATTGTACAGCGTGAAGTGAATTCAGGAATTTTACCCTGAGCTGCATCTCCGCAAGTTTTTTTTCCTTTGTTTTTTGGTTTAATTTTTGATGCCAGGTCTTACTGAGTTGCTCAGGGTTTGGAGAAATTTTGATAGTCTCCACCTCCTTGACTGTTTGGGAACACAGACCTGTGCCACCTTGCCAGTTTAAGATTTGGGTTCTGCAGTCACTATGATTTACCAGGATTTCCGTGCTGGGGGTAAAGTAAAAGTCACTGAGGCCTGGGCCTTCATGTCTTTAATTCCAGCAGCTTTGGAAACGTAACAAAAGTATTAAATCACCACGCTCAGCCTGGATAAATGGGCAAGATCCTTTTTCAATATGAAATAAATGTTTCATTCCCAACTAACTTGTCTCATGTGCGTCAGGGTTAAGTCTCCAGTAGTGAAAAGAGGAAGAAAAGTTATTTAGTGTAAATCTTTCTGAAATTTACTCATTGTTCACCCTAGTGGTACACAATACAATTCTTATGCGTAATGATGTGTAGCAGCGGTGAGTCACTGCCCTGTCAGAAACAGGACACTATGGGTGAACCACCACTGATTTACACTGTCCTGTGTTCAGTAAACTACATGAGGTATTTAGTGTTCGTTATTAATTTGGCTTTGGGCTGCATTCCCCAAATACAGATCAGTGTGTGTGTATTGAGCAGGTTTAAAAAATCCAAGGCTTAGCCTTGATGTTCAGGTAATCTGGTGTATTCTGTACCTTTTCATTACATTTTATCCTCCATTACCTTTGGCTTGATGAGGATTTCTCTCATCCAATTCACGCAGCATCTTATAACTCTTCTTATAGTTCTCTGTAGACCATGGCACTCACCAGATTGTTTCTTGTCTTGAATGTGTTAATCAGTTTTTACTGAACAATCAAATTAGAAGAACAGTATAAAACTGTTTGTAAAAGGGAAAAACATTTTGGGTTTTTTTATTTATTTTGTTCTGATTTTTTTTTTTTTTTTAATTATAAAGAGGTGACCCACTCTGGTCATGCTGTTTATAGTATATCAGCAGGACAAGGGCATGAGGTAGGAATTTTCAATGAAAAGACACAAGGCTGAATAGTTAAAACTCAAGGCACCAAGCATGTGCAATATTGAAGAGAAAATATTTCCATTGCTAGTTCTATTTATTCTGATTATGGGAACCTTTATTATTGCTTTAACCTTGTGTCATCATCTGGCTTTCTCCATTGGAATTATTTTTCCTGAAAGCACTTTATTTTTTTGTCTTTTTTCTTTTTATCAGTACCGGGGATCGAACTCACAACTGCCTGCTTGCAAGGCAGGTGCTTATGCCTCTGAGATAAATCTCCAGACCCTGAAAGCACTTTAAATTCGAAATCTGTATACATATACTTAGAAGCTTCTATGCATAGGACATATTGTGCACTAGATTGTATTATCTTCATAATATCCTCATGTGCCCCACCTGTATTTGACATAGTAGTTCTTGGTGAATCACCTGATAGAGAAATTGAATTCATTCTCTTTTCACACAGTAAAATGGGACAAAAGGCACACTTGTGTGTTCAGATAGAGAAACTGGAATCTTGGACTGGGCTGTCCACTTCACTGGACATTTTAGTGCGTTAACTTTTCATATGTCCATTCTATATTTGTATCCGTTCTATGCACTGACCAAGAGTAGTGTGTCCAAAAAGCCATGTCTTCATGGACTGGTTTAGGAAGTTCTGGGAAATAAAGGAAGCAATGTGAAAATTCAGCTTAAAAACAAGAAAGTACAATTATGTGGACCAAATATTTTTGAACATATTCAGATGGAATTTGTATAATATTACACTGTGTCAGCATTTTCAGGAATAACTTACTGGTTTTGGATCTGATGCTCTGTAAACATCTACAGAATCTTGCAGGTAATCTGTATGAACGCACTTGACTCCATAACTACAAGTGTCATTGATACATAATAAAGAAAGCCTTCATTAGGTTACGTAAATACTGTGAACTATTTACTAGGTTTCTTCAGCTTTGTGGTCATGTATGACTTCGTGGCCAGATGTCTGTTTGTATAGAGTTTGTTCTAGCTGCCTGAAGAACACACTCTAAGGAACACAGGTTTTTGGGGAGACCCAGAGAAGTTGCTGAGTTATAGTGTGCTTAACCTGAACTCTAGTAAGTTGCCATGAAGCAAGCATAGACAATGTAAATTGTCACACACAAAGTGAGCAGAATAGCACTGATTTTATCCATAAAACTTCCTCAAATTATATATTATAGTTTCTTTCTATGCCTACAACAAGCTCTTCATCTCTGGACACAGAAGTCATGTCTCTAATAATTCCATTAAATTCTGACAATGTCTCAAGTTAAAGTCTGAGTTCTCAGGTGTGTTTGTGCATTTCTACTAGAACCCTTAAATCTTATGCTAGTCCATTTTGTGTTCTAGTCTTACCTTCTTTTACCAAACATGGTCAAAGAAACATTCTCATAATCTACTCTCCCATTTTTTGTTTTAATTTCTGGAATGAATTACAGGACTCAGGACATGGAAAATCTTAATTTTTGTTAATTGGGTGACTTCATTGTCACCCTTGATATCTTCATTAGGATAATTCATGATAAACACAACAGCGCATGCTTTGGAGTGCAATATATTTTGGGTACAGTTCAATTGTACTTGGTTCTGAATTTGTCAGAATTATGCTAACTGGGTGGTGTGACTGTTGAATTATGGACTCGTCAGTTTTGTTAAGGAATTGCTCACTTTTCAGCAAATAACTTGGAATTTATAAAATAATTTTGTAAAAAGTATAGTTCAAACTTCAATTCTTTTTGAGTGAGAGTTGATGTTTGTTGAGAATTGAACTAAAGGAGAAGGAATAATATTACCCAGAGGCATGGTTAAGTATGCTGAGTGCAGGTTCAGGTTTGAATTTCCTAGGTTTTCCTGTTTCCTATGCTTACCACCTGGATGTATAACTCACCTTGGCCTGCCCTGGAACAGTGAGAGATAGAATAATGTCACAATCTGTTTAATCTTCTGAATGTGGGTTTCCTTGTGAACTACAGTGAAGCAGGATTCTCCCTGGACTCTCTTTGTTTATTTTGCAACAAATGTTTGAATTATTTGAAAGCTACCTCAAGGGTTTGTTATTTTTATGATGCAACAATAAAAGTGGGGTTTTCTTCTTGAAACCAAATGTAGAGAACCTTGATATCTGAAGAATTGAAGAACAATTTAAAAGTGAAGTGTTTGTTTTACATTTGGTATAAATTTATATAAAGATCCACAGAATTATGATACAGGTGAACAAATCAGTTAAGGTTACATACAGCACATCTTTGTGATTTTATGTAGTTACCCCCAAAGACTGACCCTGGCTGCTGGGTATGAGCTGTGCTTACACAGTGCCTGTTTGCCTGACTCAGTATTACAGTGTGTTCATTAGCCGTGCTAACTGTGCTTATCATGAGGCTGTGTCCTTGGATGTATTCACTTATACCAATTATAGTGACAGCAGTAGTTTTTTAAGTTGGCTTATGTACATGTGGTGTAATCCAATATTTTCTTGGTCATATTTTTCCTCATTAATTGGGTCTGTAGTGAGGAGTTTTTATTCAATCATGAGTGGGATCTGTAATGCTATTTAGTCCTCTTTGTCTGCTCTTGTCTCTTTATTTGGCTGCTATTTTGAGACTCCTTCATGCTGACAGATAATATACTTCTCTTGTCATGTGGTCCATTTACCTCTGTGCCAAAAAGTTCAACCAAAAGATTTCTAGAATTAACGTAAGATTCCATAATGTAGAAGGATACAAAACAACACACTAAAAGCAACAACATTCCTGTACACCAATAATGATTTACTATGTAATGAATGAAAAAACAACATTCAGAATATCAAAATATTTAATGTTTATGAATTAACCTAATAAAAGAAGTGAAAAACCTCTACAATCTAAACTATAGTACTCTGAAAACAATACTGAAGATGATATCAAAAAATTTAAAAGATATGTTGTATTTTTGTATAGACAGAAAAAATATTTTTAAAGTGGACACAGTTCTAAAGCCAATGTATATATTTAATGTAATCAAATCAAAATACAAATAGCATTCTTTACAAAACTAGAGAATACAGTCTTAAAATTGATGTGGAATCAAAAGAAATTCAGGATAAATAAAAAAACCTGACATCAGAATCAAGGCAGAAGGCATCACAAACCTAAACTTCATGTTACATTTCTAAGTTACATTGATCCAAACAGCAAGGCACTGTTCAAAAACAGACATGTTGATTGAAAGAACAGTGTAAATGATGCAGAAAAAAACCCCAGGCACATGCAGCCTTCCTCTGATCTTTGACAATTGGATCAAAAACTTGTGCTGCAGTAGAAATCACCTCTTTAACAAATGTCACTGGGAAATGTAGCATCTCATGCAGAAGACTGAATCTAGACCCATATCTCACTATGTACCAAACTAAAGTAAAAGTGGATTAAAACTAAGTGTGAAGATGGAGATACTTAATATTTTGGAAAGCACAATCAATAAAACTCTTGAAGACATAGAAATAGGTAGGGACTTTCTGAAGAGAATACTAATTACACAATAAATAAGATTAATAACTGTAAAAGTAGGCTCTCCCCGCAAACAAAAAGAGAGCCAGTCTATGGTGACTGAAATCTCCAATAAATACCTGTCCATAGGATGCAAGTTTTTAGAATGCTCACTTGGATTTGCAACTTTATATCAATCTTTCTCTGAATTTTCCAGCTGTCATTAGTAGTTCTTGTCTAATTATCCACAAAATGAGCAGTTTGTACTGAATGGGCTAATGCTATAGAGTCAGCAAATATGCTATCTGAAGAACTAGGGGAGGAATCCCTTCAGTAATCAACCCAGGCATCCTCTTGGTTTGATTGTTAAATCTTTTAATCAAGGTTTCTACCAAGAGGGCAGTAGGTGAGTGATACCAAGGCTCTATTACAGTGACTGAAAGTGAAACTCCAGGCATCCTGCTCATTATTATTATTGTGGAGTCTTTAGAAAGAAATACAGGTACGATACAATGGGGTAGATAACAAGTAGTACATGAGAATGTATTTTGTTGCCACTCCAGCTCATAAATACGTATACCTTTGATCTTCCATACTATTTTAACTTTTCCTCCATTTACCAGCTGCAGATGCCCAGTCAGCAGCCATCCAGCATGAAAAGGCAGGGCGAGTTCCTATAGAGTATGCTGTATGGGTCCAGCATTCTCATTGATAATAAGTGTATGAATAGGAGAATTGAGACTTCTGTCTAACCAAGTAACATAAGACAAGGCTTCTGAAGTAACTGAATTGTCCGGAGCACCTGAAAAGGAAATCTCTCATGCCAGTCTTGATCTTTTCCCATAAGTAATCATCTGGGCACCAATCTATAAAAGAATAATTAAATTTGTGTATAATCTGTCCATTGGTGCGAGTCTCTGCAAGACTACCAAGGGCGCAAATCACCTTCTTCAAAATGAGGGATGTGAGCTACCAGAATACTGATAGGTATGTTAGGTTTAAATTCTCTAGCAATGTTACCATCTGAGGGAATAGAAATTAAAGTCAGTAAGGTGAATTGTCCTTTAGACAGTTGTATCTTCCAAACCTGATCTATAGCTGACATACGTGGGTTAGAATCTTGCTGTAGTTGGATTACACATACGGGAGGATATACAAAATGAGAGATAGTATTTAGTTTAGCTTGTTTTTGTAAATGCATAAAGTATGAGGGCCTGGCAGAATACTATATGTAGGATTTTTGCTATTGAATAGAAAATTTTTGGTGGCTTGTCCATCCAAGTTAGGTGTCTGAGCAGAAGTGGATTAGGTATATATGTCCAATATTCTTTCCCCTGAACCATAGAAATAAGTACAATAGCTGCTAAGAGAGGAAACACTGTAAAGAAAAAATTATCAGGTGAATGAACCAAATCTTGGCTGTTAATTAGATGACAGGCCCACATGAATGGTCCGCTACAGGCCTTTCCAGGACAGTGGACGATGTGCTGTCAGGTTCATTGTTCCAGGTCTTGTCATATCACACAGGTGTGTGAGATTCTGGCTACACAACAGCTCTCATAGTCATAATGTCTGTTAATTATCTGTGGAAATATAAAAATATTCTTGGCCCCAATTGAAAAGTGATACTGGGCCATTCCAAACACTTGTTCAGAGGTCATGCCAAGCTAGAAGGTGTAAGGACTTCAGAGAATGGTCAGATTCTTGTTCTCAGAATCTCGTGGCTGGGAGCAAATCAGAATTGGGTAGGGTTCAGAAAAATTTAAAATGTATGTAGCATAATTTAAATATATTTGAGGGGAGTTTTGACTCTGTATTTCCCCTTTTTTTTGTTTGATTAATTGATTTTTTAATCTAAAATGAGTATGATCAATTATTGCTTTGGGATTATAGGGTATCCCGTTACATGACTTTAGAGATTACATAGCAGTATGTCAGCTGGCCTTATGTGCAATGCTTAGAGCCAACTGAAGAGAGAAGGAAATACCATAGCCAGCTCTGTACATACCAGTATATGGAAATAAGCTTCGATATAATCCATGTCATAGCAGTTGTTCTGTATTTAAAGGAATTCACTCAAATTATCTCCTACACCTTGCATCAGGGAAGAAGAGTTTGAATTATGTAAACACCCAAGTTGGACATGCAGGCCACAGAATAGAATCCTCCTTTTTCAGGACACTAACTGAAAAGTTCACAAAGTGTTGCTGAGAGACTCCCATGCTAACTCAGCCTGACTTGCTTGGTGGCTTCTAGGGCCTGGTTGCATGGGAAGGACTGGAGAGACCTCAATTCTCAAGGTGATTTTGCGGGATGAGATGAGCAAAGGCAAGATTTTTTTTTTGATTTTTGATGGAGGTGTAATTTCTGGTTGGAAGTGGGCAGAACCAGCTTTAGCAGGATTTGGGCCTCTGTACATCTTGTTCTTCTGTGCCAACTGTCACATTTGGTCTGTTCTGGCCCTCAGGATGGAGCTGACACTACTGCCAGGAACTGAGCGTCCTGTTCTAGATAAGGAAGGTGATGTTACTGTGGCAGAGCCCTGATGTTTCCAACTCACTGCTTGCAGCCCCACCTCTCTCCGCGCTGTGCAGTGAGCTGGAGGGTTGAGCGGAGGCTTCTGACTTATATGAAGCTTCTGTGTAGGTGAGACTGGACTGTTTTGTGCTTTTTTTTTTCCCTCACATCCACATACCAAGTATTATAGTTTGTTATCTACAGTGTCTGCTAAACATCTAAGTGTAACAGTTGAATGGTTTCTGTGGGCCCTGTTCCCATTTTACCAATGAGCTCATATCTCAGTTAAAGGTAGGGTTTGTTGAAGATAGGTTACTAGGGCCATGGCCTAGAAAAGCATGTTTCTTTCTGTATCTCCTCCCATCTTTCCCTTCTTTCTGGCTGCCATGAGCACTCTTTCCTCTATTGAGAATTTGCCATCCAGTTTCTACACTGAAATAGGAGAGCGTGAACTGAAATAGTGACTCAATATTAACACTACTGTTTTAAGTTGAGGTTGTGAACTGTATTTTCCCTGTGACATGAAAGTGGCTGTGATTTCTAATTGTGCTAAATTTGTTAAAAGTTTAAATATGAGATCTCAAACACAATGTATTCTCCATTATGGTCTTCATTGTCATGGGGTAAATTCCATAATCACCGACCACTTCCATACAGTTCCAAAGTCGTTAGACGATGTTTACAAATCACATAGAAATTGGGAAAAAAATGTTTAACATTGCCTGTGATAAAAATCATTATTATGGCACTTGCCAACCATGATTTAAACTCTCTTCTTATATACAGAACGGTGCAATAAATAAATGAACTAATGAGTAAATAAGCTCTTATAGTTTATGTAATATCAAAAATTAGGTGGTGTGTTACTAACTTTATATAAGGGGAGATAAAATTAATGCTATCAAGAACAACTTGCAGAAGGGGCTGCCTGTTTAGCATACATTTTCATATTTAACAGAGTACTCAATGTACATATAATACATATATAAGTGGAGAGAGAAAAGCACCGTTGCTCACATAATTGCTATAGTTCTTCATAGTTTATAGACTTTGTGCAAAAAAGGACCTGTAGAATGTTGTAGGACATTGATGAAAAACGGCATTGCGTTAGGGGAAGGGCACCAAGTATAGGTCTGTATGCACATCAGTGGAAAGCACAGAAGTAGTTTCTGTGGAGGAGGAAGCAGGAAAGAATACACACAGTGTTGGAAATGGTGAAGACAGATCAAAAAAAAAAAGCAGTTTCTCAACCAGTGATTTTTTTCATTGAGGATATTCTTAATGTGATTAAATAATTTGTTATATACTGGCTTAATTTGTAAGTGGGTCAGGGTATAGAATTCATAGAAAGAAATTTAGGAAATATATGTCATCTGTTACTCCTAAATTCACATAATCATTTTTGAGGCAAAATTGGAAATTTTGTCGCCGTGTTTCACATTTAAAAATCAGGTGAAAAACAGTCTATGTGCCCTGGGAAGGGTACACTGGAGGATAGAAATGTTATCAGAGTATTTTTTCGTGTTACTTGGAATTGAGCCTGGACCTTCACTCTGAGTGACTTCCAGCCTTTGACCCGTTTGCTTTTATTGTTCTGAGTTTTCACACTGAGTCTTGCTGTGACATCTAGGCTGATCACAATGAGGTTGTCCTCTAACCTCAGCCTCCCAGAGTGGCATTATCATAAGCATGGATCACCAAGCACAACTATATATGAGGACCACAGTGCTTGGTTAAATTAAACATGATCAGTTATTCTTTTTTCTTATTGTTGAGACAGGGTTTTGCTATGCAGTTCTGGCTGACCTTGTGTTCACTTTGTAGCCCAGGCTGGTCTTGAACTTGCAACAATCTTCCTGCCTCAGCCTCCCGAGTGCTGGGATTACAGGCATGCACCCCTACACCCAACTCAGTTACTCATTTTAATGTCAAGAATGTTGAAAATGTTTTTCATTGAGAATTTATGGGGGTCATTTGGAAACATTTCCTTGCAAACTGTTTGCTCTAAGTAAGTATCTGTGAATTTGAGATTAGTTGTCTGTGTACTATAAGTTTAAGGATTATTTTCCCCAGCTTTTGGAGAGAATCTAAGACTATATCATATTTTACTATAGAATAGAAATGCCCTTTTTATCATAAGCCGCTTTGAGGCAGTATCTTTATTTCTCCTAATAGAGTGACTTAATGTACTATAGCTTTAGAACTCCAGAATGATGACTCACAATGAAAAATGACATCACAGCCTTGGACAGCAGTCTTCATTTGACGGAGTACACCGGGACTGTGCTCTGAGTTTGTCAGCAGTTTGGTTGTTTTCGATTTGTGTTGGTTTCAGGCACACCATTCTTTTTTTCTTGTAGAACTGGTTTGTGCTCAGCATGCAATGTACTTTTGAGCACAAAACAAAAATTGGGGGAAGTGATAGGTCAAACTTGACCTGATCGTGCACAGTATTGAAACTGTAGACAAGAGAGCAGTCTCCCCCATCATGATGACTATGATGTGAAGAAGCCCCATATTTAAATTTCCTGACTTCTCATGTTTCCCTGTCTCACCACTTGTGAGTAAGGTACCCTGGGTTGCATAGGCACTGGGAATGTTGTATAAATTTGAGAATGTATTTAATCTATAGAGTGTTAGGTGATCATTTGATGTTATGAGCTATGAGATAATATGCCACCCTTTCCATATTTTCATTGTCTATAGATTGCTCCAATATTTTTTGTTTCTCCATTAGTACTTTAATCATTATTCATAAATATTGTTTTTTCTCCTTTTTATTACTGCATTTTAGATATATATAGTGTTAACTTTGTCATGGGGGATTTGTACTTGTACACTGAGTATCTTCTCTTTCTTTTTCCATTCTCCTCCTAATCCCTTCAACCCCTCTTCCTCCTCTTATTTACAAAATTATTTCCTTTTTTTCTTCTTAAATTTTTGTCTTTTCTTCCCTCCCTTCCTTTTAACCCATTCATTTGAACATTTCAGATTCCTCAGAAAACTAATCCTAAGGGTTCCATTTGCTATCTTCCTAAAAGAATTAAAAGCATCGTACCACAGCAGTGTATGCACACCATGTTTGTAGCAGCTAAATCATGGGGAAAAGTCAGATACGCAATAGCAGATGAATTGATAAAGGAGATGTAGTATTTTGGATTTTTTTTACAGTGCTTTGCTACTCTGTCATAAAGAAGGATGAGCATGAGATATTTCTAGCTAAATGAATGTGCCTTGGGACTTACCCATAGTCCATCAGAAGCAACCATTAGTTATCTGCCCTTCTCTTTTGTGGATGGTGGCTCCCTCTATGAGCTCTGCTTTAGAAACAGTGTACAAGTATAATTTCTGTGATCCAGTGCTACTATTTTTGCTATCATTGTAGCAGTGAGTTGAAATTTAACATCAGAATTGCTGTGTAAAAATATGTGCATGTAGTTGAGTTTGGGGACGAGATGTGGAATTTATATTTGAAGGAATCAACTTCAATTCAAGAAGAGGAGTTCAGATGTCTCAGAATGTGAGTCTCAACCTTCTTTCAGGAAATATATATGTGATTATTTAGGAGGCACTGACCTTGGAGGATGTATTTGTGAACTTCAGCACAGAGGAGTGGGCTTTGCTGAATCCATCCCAAAAGAACCTTTACAGAGATGTGATGTGGGAAACATTTAAGAATATGACTGCTCTAGGTAAGGATGACATCATGTTCTTGTTTATACACTGAGAGAGCATTGGTAGTTATTCATTGACAGTGATGCATTAAATAGAACATGAAAACATTCTGAAGAACATGTCAGGCCTATTTACACTATACCATGATCTCTATCTGTTATCCATTAAATTTTATATAATGATATAATGACTATTTGTGTTTCTATGGCTATAATTCAGGAAGGACCTGGAACAATCACCAAGTTGAAGAAGAATACAATATTTGCTCACAAAATCTAAGGTAATTTGCGTTTATAAGGAAAAGGAATATTGCCTTAGAGTTGGTATTAGAGACTTTTGCCAGTTATTGGAGACCTCCGCATTGGCTTCAAATCTCCTGCCTAAATTGTGGCGCATGGCAGGAAAGGAAAGAAAGAGCAAGAGATAAAGTATAGGGGTTCATAGCAGGAATCTAGGACCACTAGTTGCTCTTTAGGAACAAAAGGCCCCAAATCTCTGGCTAGCTGCCATTTTATTAGCCACTATAAGGGAGAGGGTAGGATACGTTTCCTGTAACAGCCTAGAGGCAGTGGTACAATGGGCAAGTTTAATATTATGAAGGAAACTAGCTGAGATCAATCCCCACATCTAGATGCTAATTTCACTAAAAGGAAAGTGATTTTAGCACTCTATAATGTCCCACAAGGTAGAGAGGACAAGGAGACACTAAAACAGATACTGTATCAATTTACATTTTGTAGATCCAATAAGCCTGTGTACCAACAGAAATATTACAACCAAGGAAACTTAAGATGTGAGGCCATGTTCAACTTTATTTACTCTCACAAAAATTTTTCAGATACGTATACAAGTTGATTTTGTATAATCTGACAATCGAATACAAAAATATTCCAATATAGAAACTAGTCAGTGATGCACACCTGTAACCCCAGTACTCGGGAGGCTGAGGCAAGAGGAATTCCTTGTGTTTGAGGCCAGTCTGGGTACTACATAAGCAAGACCAACCTGTACCATGCAGCAAGACCCTGTTAAAAACAAACAAACCAAAAACCATATAGGAAACTAATTTAGTAGTGATAGTATGCAATAAGAAATACTATTGCATACTTCGGTATAAAAAAAAATATTTCGTAGTGGATACTATGAAAATGTATGAATTTACATTTGAATGTTTTATGTAGCCATATATAAGAAGACTAAATTTTGAACTGTGACAGGAAGTCATTTTAAGTTATCTATGTACATTTTTGAATAAGACATTTCTAACCTGGAGCAATATTCAAAATGCAAATCAATGGTGGTGCAGTAATAGATGTTTTCAAAACATCCTCCATAGAATTGGTGCATTCATTTTTTAAGATTTTTAGAAGACTCTCTCAGATGATGTATAGGAATATAAAATAGAACCAATTTAATAATATATTGTATATTCTGAAAGGATTTAAAATGATTGTGTCTTAGCTGTACATGCATACTCATTCTCAAAGCAGGTTATACATGGGTGTTCATAGCAGCTAAGTTCTGCACATAATTCATAACATCTAAGCTCTGAGAACAGCCTAGGTGTTAATCATTATCTGCATGGCTCAGCATGATGGTGCTTCTGGTAATCCCAGCGCTCTGGAAAGCTGAGCCAGCAGGATGACAATGTGAAGTTTGCTCTGAGAATACTAATGATCAGTGAGAAACTCAAAATAAGAAATATAAAAACTAGAAATGAAATTTAGTGCTCTCATTTAATTTTCAGTATTGAAAAACTTGTGCTATTCATTAAGTCATGAAGAATATCTTTTGCCAAAACAAACAAACAAGCAAGGGACTATTTAATAATGTTAAACGAAATAAATCTGACACAGTAAGTGAGTTATCAGGTGTTTTCTTTTATATGAGATGCCTACATGTAAATTAGTAAAATTAAAAAGTGATAGAGAACAGAAAGCTGACTTGTTAGACAGGAAGAAGATGACCAGGTTAAGGAGAGAAGAGGAAAGTAATGGGGAAAAGGTGTAAAAAGCAATGCAGCATGATACATGCATATATCAGTCACCTAAATGAAACTAGAAATTATGTGTTGCACACGTATCAATTTAAAATTCCCAAATGGATAACATTCTTTGGGGAAAGGGTGTTTGAGGGCTTTTCCCAGTTCATTCAGCCTATTCAGTCTCAAAATCTCTTAACAGGCATCAAGCCAGAATCTGTCCTGATAAATTTTTTTTTTGTACTTATCATCCGTGTGCATTTCTTTCTTTCTTTTTTTTTTTTTTTTTTTTTAAGTAAAACAAAAAAAGGATTGAAATGATACGGAATTTCAAAAAAGAAAAGAAAAAACTAGGGAATTAGCACTAGTTAATATATTGCACAGTGTTATCTCAGAACTAGTTGTTCAGGTTATAAAATCTAGATACAAAAATGATCAACAGTGGTCAGCACAAATTGTTCTTTTTGATGAACTAAGATTAGTAGTATAGTTATGTATCTAACGTACATATACATACATAAATTTATGTATATTTACCAACATATGTATAATCTTTTCCTTTCTTCCTTTTTCTTTTCCCATATCCTAATAGTTCTGTCCTTTTGAGTACTTTCTTTCCCTTTCATTATTACAATTTCTATTATACATTTTGATTGTTACTCTTTCAGTTTAAAATGGGTGTCTGAGATGAATCACACATTTCTCAGATGAAGATATACAAATAAATACATGAAGAAATGTTGAGAAATGCAAATTAAAACAGGATTGAGATTCCATCTCATTCTGGAAAGAATGGCTGCCATCAAGAAATCAACTGATAACAAATGTTGGCAAGGCTGTGGAGATAAAGGAACACTTCTCCATTGTTGGAGGGAGTGCAGACTGGTGCAGCCATTTTGGAAATCAATACGGAGATTCTTCAAAAAACTAGAATTGGGAGTCCCATTCAATCCAATTATCCCCCTCTTGGGTATTTTCCCAGAAAAATTGAAAACATCATGTCACAATGATATATGTGCACCCATGTGCAGCACAATTTGTAATAACTAAATCTTGGAAACAACCAAAATGCCTATCAACTGCAGAATGGATGAAAAAGATGTGGTATTTTTACACAATGGAATATTACTCAACTATAAAAAGATGATCTTGAAGCTTTTATAGGTAAATGGAGGCAACTTGAGACTATACTCATAAGTGAAATAAATGAGACTCACATTTGTAAATATTGTATTTCTCTAGTGTAAAAAATAATAATAAAAAAACCTGGTAAATTATTGAAGCGGAGACCTTTTTATTGTGTTTGATATTTTTATTTATTTATTTTTTTTCCTTACAGCAGTGAAGAGGTAGCAGCATGGTATCAGTATAAGCCTTGGACTCAACATGAAAAAATATTCCTTTGGACTCCAGATGCTAATGTGCAACAAGCTGCTTTAAAGCCAGCTGAAAGACTTGTTTGTAGAAAGCCCTTGATTAAGCATTTATCAATAAATATGCCCATTTTACCTTACTTTGGACTGAAGCCACATGAATATTTAGAATTTGATGAGAAGCTAAGTAAATGTGATGAACATGGGAAAACCTGCAGTGATCTCCAGTGCTTTCAGAAGCATGCAAGGACAGAGAATGGAGAGAAAGCCTATCAACATGAGCAGTGTGGGAAATCCTACTCTGAACTTAGGAAAAATCCTTATACTGGAAAGAAGACCATTATAGGTAAGAAAAATGTGAAGGCCTCCAAGACCCCCAGTGGTGTTCAGATACATGACAGAATTCACACTGGGAAGAAACCATACATATGCAAGCACTGTGGGAAAACCTTCAATACTCAAAGTTGTTATAAAATTCATGAAATATTTCACACAAAACAGAAACCCTATGTATGTAAACAATGTGGAAAAGGATTCAATCATAAGTCTGCATTTCGTAGACATAGACGAACCCACACTAGTGAGAAACCATATGAGTGTAAGCAATGTGGGAAATCATTCAGCAGATACAGTTATTGTAAAATACATGAAAGAAGTCACACAGGAGAGAAACCATATGCATGTAAGCAATGTGGGAAAGCATTCACCTCACAGATGTGTTACAAAATACATGAAAGGTATCACACTGGGCAGAAGCCTTATGTGTGTAAGCAATGTGGGAAAGCATTCACTATTCAGAGTAGTTGTAAAATACATGAAAGAATTCACACTGGGGAGAAACCGTATGTATGTAAGCAATGTGGGAAAGCATTCAGCAGACATAGTAATTGTAAAATACATGAGAGAGTTCACACTGGGGAGAAACCCTATGTATGCAAGCAGTGTGGGAAAGCATTCAGTGTACACAGTACCTGTCAACGCCATGAAAGAATTCACACTGGGGAGAAACCATATGTATGTAAACAATGTGGAAAAGCATTCAGTGTACACAGTTACTGCCAAAGACATGAAAAGACTCACACTGGGGAGAAACCGTATGTATGTAAGCAATGTGGGAAGGCATTCACTACACACCGTTATTGTCAAATACATGAAAGAAATCACACTGGGGAAAAACCTTATGAGTGTAAGCACTGTGGAAAAGCATTCACTACAAAGAGTTATTATAAGATACATGAAAAAAGCCACACAGGGGAGAAACCTTATGTTTGCAAACAATGTGGGAAGGCATTTCCTACCCACCAATATTGTCAAATACATGAAAAAACCCACACTGGGGAGAAACCTTATGTGTGTAGGCACTGTGGGAAAGCATTCACTACACATAAATATTGTCAGATACATGAAAGAACTCACACAGGGGAGAAACCTTATGTGTGCAAGGAATGTGGAAAAGCATTCAATATGAAGAGTTCTTATAGCATACATGAAAAAAGTCACACAGGGGAGAAACCTTATGTGTGCAAGCAGTGTGGGAAAGCATTCACTATACGCAAATATTGTCAAAGACATGAAAGGACTCACACAGACAAGAAGCCCTGTGCATGTAAGCCATGTGGAAAAAGATTTGCCAGTAAGTCCTCATATTATATACATAGATCTCACACTAGCGAGGAACCCTTTGTATACAAGCAATGTGGGAAAAGTGTACAATAAATGGGATTTTTTTCTCCCTTTTCCCCTACTTTCCTTTAATCACCATTTACAAAACCAGCTTTTCAATTTTTTCTTTTTTCAACTTTTCCTTCTCCCCTCATCACATTTGAACAGTTTTTCTCAACCACATGAAAGTCACTGGTGAGAAACCCTATATATGTAAGACTGTTTTGAAAATCCTATAAAATTATTCATGTAGTGGAGACCTGAACAAATTAAATGAAAATTTGATGTCAGTGTTACATCATACTTTTTTCAGAAGATACACTGTCAGGTGGAGATATCCTAGAAGATATTCCTTCTGAATTTTTCAGTAAATTACTTATAAACATCTGAGTTGTGTATCTATAGACTTTACCATAAAAATAATATTAACTATTTTTATGTAAGTCATTGTCTTTGATCTTTTTTTTTTTTTTTAATGTCTTTTTTTAAAATCGGTACCGGGGATCAAACTCACAACCACCTGCTTGCAGGGCAGGTTCTTATGCCTGTTTCATGATTGATGGAGGGCCAGAGGTTTAGCTCAGCAGCACTAGTGCCTGCCTGGTAAGCACGAGGTCGTAAGTTCTTCCAGTACAAAAAAAAAAAATTGACGGAATTTCCCTCTACCTTTGATTTTATTTTCTTTGTATACATACTTCATGTTCTGTGGAAAAAGATAAACTTGATATTATAATATATATGTATTTATATTTAGACTGGCAAACCTGTTTTTGAAAACTTCAGTTGTTTTGATACAGTTTGGAAATTAGCAGATGTTTTGATTTTCATACCCTAACAAGATACCTACATATATCCCAACATATTTCTCTTGTATCAAGTACATAATGTACCTTACCATGCTTGTTTATGATATTATAATTTACATAAAATTTTGTTTTCCTATCATTTTGTTGTGACTTCTAATTTTTTGTTAATTTTACCACCACTTATACCAAGAAATAAATCATACTACTGTGAGTGTTTGACAGATCAGATAGACCATGATGCATCTGTAACAGGATATCATGAATTGTAGTAATCAATCAGTTAGTACTTACTGGAGAAACAGAATAAAACAAGATATATGAAAAATTACAAGATGGGCTTACAATGGTACCCACACAGTCAGATACAAAAGAGTGCAAAAGATCTGGATATCTAGAAAGTCCAGTTGAAGCCATGGGGCCCACTGTAGTCTGCCATGAAACTCTGTCAGGAGATCAAAGAATCTATGCTAAAAAACTAATCTGAGCTGGAGATTGAAGAGCCTGTGTTGGATGGTAGATGACTTTGAAGTTGATGGTGAATACTGGAGCTTCTCCACAGAAACAAAAGCAAGCCTTCATTTTTTTCTTTTTTATAGCATTCTGTCATCAGTCCTCCCTAGGGTGGGTCTTCCACACCTGTAACTTCTCTGGGCAAATTTAGTTGGATGGGTAGTACTCAGTTGTCAAGATTTGTTAACTGTCACAGTCTACCCTTTGACAGCAGCCAGACATGTTTTTTAAACCATAGTCTCCAGATACAAAGAGGGGCTCATAAATACACCTAACATGTTATAGCTATCCTACATACAAAGGAAATACACAAACTCCCCAGAATGGAAGAGTAGTTTTCTTTTGGTGATGCTAACTTCTAACTTGAATGTTCATAACTTGAATATTTTTACATAAGTTTAATAAGATCTAAACAATACTAAATCTATCAACATTGTATTATATTAGAAGCATACTAAGAAAAAACTGGTACAGTTACACTACTTGTGTCTGTAGCTGATCATGGGATCATAGCTGTTAGACTGGCACATAGCTGTTTGGAACTACCTTGCCCCTTGTATTTCCTTGGCCTTCAGGAAATGTCTCAGAAGCTCTTGGCTCTTTCCATGGTATAGTGACCCATACCATTAAGCCTGAAGGTTCTGGACTGTTTAGTATTTTGCTTGAATTGAATTCTTACACTTTCATGTTGACTATAATAACAGGACATAGTTATATGAGGAGGTGCCCCAAGGGATCTCCTGCACTACAAGTATGTTTTGGTTTTTTTTTCTCCATTGTGGAGTAATACTCATTTTTCCTTGACAGTCTGGGTCAGTACTTTTCCCTACACTGTAACTCCTTTTTTTAGCTTCTTTCCTCAGTCATAAGGACCAAAATGACCAGGAGAAAGTCTTTGCTTCCAGTTCACTGGTATCATTGTTGTGCTTCCTAGTACAACTTTACCCTTTCTGGAACTAAGACTTTCTTCTAAGGCAGCAGATCAGAAGATAGTAAAAACAGGATACAAAATTTTGATAGCAGATCACTATGGTAATCACGAGTGATACCACTGTTACTTCCACCCCTATATTCTTGGTCCTACGAATCCTGGCTATGGGAAACAGTACAATATAGTTGATATGGATGCAAAGCATATACAGCTTTTTGAAGAACCTTGCCCCAGCTCTGTAAGCTGTTGCCAACTAACTGGTATTACAAGTGTGTCTTCAAAAGACCATTCCACCTTTCTGTCAATACACCTGCCTCTGGGTGTTGAGGAACATGGGAAGATCAATTTCCATGAGCATGAGCCCATCACCTTTTTTTGGTCATCAGATATGTCCCTTAGTGTGAGATCCATGCTGTATGGATTCCTTGATGGTTGATAAAGCATGTGATTCTATGAATGGAAATTTTGGTTAGAAGTATCACAGGCAGGAAATGCAAATCCATATCCTGAATAAGTATATTTTCCAGTAAGGACAAAGCACACTCCTTTCTGTTGAGGGAAGCTACCCAGTATAATACATCTGTCAGCAGGTTGAAGGCTGATCATCCCAGGGAATGGTGCCATATTATAGAATCAGTCTCTGCTGCTGGTCTTTTTCATTCACTAGTACACTACATGAAGTTCTGCCCACTGTGAAGATTTTCCTTCATCACTGTCCATCAGAGACATCCTGAAAAGAGATTGTAATGTTACAGCTGTCCACTTGAAGTTCTTACTACATAACAAGCAGAACCATCAGGAAAGAGAGCTATCCTTTTTTTCTTCTAACAACTGATCATATGGTCCATCCCATTAGACCATAGTGCCTGTTGAGAAACAGGTAATTATGCACAAATAGGTTCCATGTGCCTCTCGGGAACTTCTTCATGTAACTTTACTTGTGCCCTCTGGACCTGCTCTGTGTTAATCAGATATATGCTATTTCCATTTAATGACAGACTCTTGCTGCACATGTCCACCTTATGGCTTGGTGGATTAGATAATGCCCAGTTCATGATAAGCAGCTCAGGTTATGTGGTAAACTGTTGTGCCATGTTCAAGTGTTCAGTTTCCACTAAGGCCTGCTGCCACGAGCTATTTTTCAGAAGGAATGCAACTGAGTGCAGATGGTGGCAGTCTTACTCCAAAAGCCTAAGTCTGTAACAACATGAAGGCCTGAGAGAAACTACAAAAAGCATCCTTACCTGCCACTGATACTTGAAATACTGTTATATCTGCTTGCTCCGATGACCCCAGTGGCATATCAGCCAGCAAAGCATCTTGTACCTGTTGCAGAGCCGTTTTTTCAAGGATTCACTCAAAACTAGCAGCTTTCTGAGTCATAAACATGGTACACTAAAACATCTGTGAGGAATGTGTTGCCTCCAAAATTCAAATATGCCAACTAGGCATTTTTGCCTCTTTTTTTTTCATTATAGGGGAAGCCAGAGCAACAATTTGTCTTTTACCTTAGAAGGGGAATCTCTACATGCCCCACAGCACTGGAGTCCTAGAAATTTCAGTGAGGTAGAAGGACTTGGAATTTTAGTGTGATTTATTTCCTATCATCTGACTCTCAGATTCTTTACTACCAAACTAGAATGGTTGCTGCCTCCTGCTCGCTTGATCCAAATGTAATATCACTGTGATGAGCCAGCATGGTACCTTCTGGAAGAGAAAGGCTATCGAGAGCTCTGCAAAGTAGTTGTGACTACTTTTTTCATTCACTAGTGCATGGAGGCTGGAGAGATAATATAACCCTGAGGTAGTATCAAGGACCCAGAAAAGAGCCCTGATTGTCTGTATTAAAGATACAGTTAGAATGCTGGGCGTGGTGGCTCACACCTGTAATCCCAGCACTCGGGGGCGCTGAGGCAGGAGGATCGTTTCGAGTTCAAGACCAGCCTAGGCTACAAAGTGAGCTCAAGGCTAGCCTGAACTGCACAGTGAGACCCTGTCTCAAAAAGACAAAAAAAAAAAAAAAAAAAAAAAGGTTAGAAAATAAAAATGAACAAGTTTAGCAATACATGAGTGACTGGAAAGTCAGTGTCTCCAGGTAGGTTCTCTCTTGATACTCCAGAACAGCCACTATTTATTAGGCATATACAGTGATAGGCAGAGCTAGCTAGTGAAACGGCTGATGAAGATACATTCTGATTATCCCTGGTTTTCCTGATAGATAGCCGAAGCTAGAGAGATTTAATAATGTGCCAAGTTCACATAACTAGGGATAGCTTGAAATTCATGTGTGTCTCCTGATAGGGTTTTCACTGTCTGCAGCAGACTGTCTACTCCACCTTGGAGATTTAATTCTCAAAGATATTACCCCTTCCTAAAGGGTTTCTGTGCACTTGAACTCCACCTGTTCTCATGTTCCCACTCACAACCCTGTTGTTTCTCAGACAATTTGAGGTGAAATAGTTATTTTCTTTTCTAATTAAGGATATGAGTGTTCCAATCTATTATTCATTCCTGTGTCAGTATTTCACACACTGGGTAATTAATAAAGAATGGAAATATAATTGTTACAGTACTGAGGCTGAAAAGTCTAAGACAATGGCACAAAAATCTAGTGAAACATTTTTTCTGCATGATACATGATTAAATGCCAAATAACCACATGTATAGTAGAAAACACAAATGAATATTGTTTTATTACATGCCCATTCCAGTCCTAAGTCCCTCACTTTCATGTTACTAACAGCATTCCATTTAAGAGAGGAAAATACTTATGTGCCCATCATCTATTATGGGCCCCGTATCTAAACACTGTGTCATGAAATGTCCTGTTCCCTGAAATGTAAACTTTACAGGGCATTGTGACTCTCGCATTGGGTTACTGATTTGAAATCCCTGACATGAGCCAAGAAGCAATCTTTGGTGTGTGGAAACCTGCAGTTATGCTTGAGTCTTCATTCCCTAGCACAGAAACCTCAGTTCAAGTCAGTCTAAATTTATTATTTTGTTGGTGATCTGATTAGGATCCAATATTTGCTGTGCATCACTTTTATTTACTTAAATTGTTTCTCATTACATCACACATTAAAAATTACAATCATAAAAGTAAAAACTGATTCAAAAACCAAGGGTACATTTGGAATCAATGTTTTACTCATTGTCATAAAGACTTGTGCAATAAATTATTCAGCATAGATTTAAATACTCTGAAGTACCCTTTCCCTGTAAGTAAATAGAAGGCTGTATCAGGATATTTTGTTTTGTTTTATGTCTTGTTAAGACTTTGGTGGATTAAGTACATTTTGTGGAAGAATATTTTAGGAAATGTGTTATGTAGACATGCTGGGGGAGAAAAGAACTGAAGTCAATTCTGAGACCCTTAACATGTCTCTTAGTACTGTTTACTGAAGGATTTGTATGATATTCTATTGTCTTTTGTTTCCACTTGGCTTTTCTAAGGCTCATGTCCCATGGCTTTTTAAATCTCTCCTCTGGGCTCTGGTATTTCTTTCAGCCTCTATTCATTACTCTTAGGAAATCATTCATCATTTGGTATCTTGCCTACAGTCTACTCAGACCTTTATTATAACCTCTGTTTATGATGATACCTTTTATGTTCATCAGCCTTTGGATTGAAATATTAAAATATAAGTTAAAGATCTGTCTTATCTCTAGCATCCCTGAAAGCACAGTGAATATTA